GTCGTATATATATATATATATATATATATATATATTCTTATATATAAGGCGACGCCGCGTTGCCTCGACGACGTCACCGAAAAAGGCGACGCGACTCTGCACCGGACCAATATATATATATAACGAGCGGTTCGTGTACCGGTAAGCTAACGGACCAATACGTACCGCCCGCACCGGACGGTATTATTCGAAATTGCATACCTTGCTATAAACTATAAAGAGCTCTGCTCACACTTCCAACTTATTTTCAACCATCCAAAAGTCTTCTCTAAGGGATAAATAACCTCGTTAATTGGAACAAATACATAATTTCTTATTATTTACTTGTATTACAAGGTGATTTTAAGCAACTCATCTCTAAAACCTTGTATTACAATATGACTTTAGTTCTTCTATTCTGTGATATATATATATATACACACACACACATACATAACATTTGACATATCGAAACGTACTGCTCAGTACATGCGATACGTACTAATCCGACAAAGGATCAGTATGGACGGCATATCATTACACCCTAGTGTACCATGTGTTAGTATACTTGATACGTACCATACCGATAACTGGTCAGTACACCAGTACTGACCAATAATACAAACCATGCACACACACACACACACACTCGGTATATATATATGTGTGTGTGTGTGAAGAGCAAATAAACAAAGGGAGTTCATTTTAGAAGTTAACCTAAGCAACTTAACTGGAGAACAAGTTCCCGCAATTATTTCATTCTCCACTTTGAAGACAACTTGTCTAAAAACTTGGTCAAAACAAATCTTTTGGTGCATTTAATGGTTTTCAAAGTATAGAAAATCACAATTGGTAGTTTGATACAGCTAAAACAACTGCTAAAAAATCTACAGAGGTAAAGACTTGTTTGCAATTTTATCTCAGTAAAATATCACATGTAAAAGAAAAGGATTCCAAAACTTGAGTTACTTTGCATGAAATTCCAGTTCAAAGAGACATACTCTATAAAAAGAAGTGAGAATCAGAATGAGAACACCTGCAACAAAAGTAAAGGACAAATAAGCTGCAATTGCTTGTTGCAAATTTTCAGCTTTGTTCTAGAATGCTTAATATTTGTGGCAATTGTGATGTAAGGGCCAGGCACCAGATAATACATCATCTAATATTTCATAAATTCTTTCCTGAAGATAGAATATGCATCACAGGGTATGCATGAGATTAAACAAGATTTAATTTAAAAGGAAAGAGAAAATTATGATTTACCATTATGGTCATAGTACTTTATAGTGTGAAATATGATACATTTGAGTAGTTAATTTGCCACAATAAATAAAGTAACTAACAACCTAAAATAAACTCGGAACCCTAAACATTTAACAACACTGGTGATGCAAGACAACAGAAACTAACCATTCCCACATAAATTAGCAATTGCTCCAGCAATCATTCGAAGTGTTTGAGGATCTTCAGTTTTTGAAGCGATATTTGCTAGTACCCGTGCACCTCCTTTACCCATTATTAAGCCTTGATTAGAACCTAGAAATAACAAGTAAATTCATGGACAACATGGTTAAAAAAGATACATCAAATTCTAATTGATATGTAAATTGATAATGATATAAGATACTCAAAATATAGATTTGTAAATGACACTCTTTAGGTTAGGCCTTCTTTCTTAGTCCTTGTAATTATATACAATACTGGCAAAAAGAATTTAATGCAGGTACCAGTACCCTATCACAAACAGTCGTCCCACACCCACAACATCTTCATCAACAAACCGTTTGTCACTTATGTTTGCTTATACAAATATTTGGTAGCATATTTTGTCTTGTTTTTGTAAGTTTTTGTTCATCTCAAACCCCTAAAACCACTCGGGTAGCATAGGACTAGATGGAATTTTGGGATAGTGTTGGGCCCTATTTGAATAAACAAGTTTACACACAAAGTGTGAATGTACTTGTCTTACACCTCAACACCTAGTTGAGTGACCGTTTGTGGACTTGCGAATGTTCTTTTGTCTTCTAAAGTCCTTATTTCCGTTCCACTTTTTTTCTCTCTTTACATACCAAGAGTTTGCTGAATTGTCTGTAAGCTTCCCCTTTTGCAAGACATCAAGACTTGTCCACCGCTCGTTTTATGAATTTAATCAACTTTCTTTTTTGCAAGTCCTTTGGGACCTATACGAGGTTGCTCTTAGGCTGACTCTTTATGAATGGATATCGCAAGTGTGCCCCCACAACTAAAGCAATTCTGACTAAGTCCGTGACATTTAGTATCAGAATGAGTAAGCGATTCGAGCAAACAATGGAAGTTCGCCATGGCAACGCACCGTGGTGAATTGAGCAAGACTTGTTCGTTGTTCGTTTTTCTGAATTTAATCAACTTTCTTCCTTGCAGGTCCTTCGAGACTTGTACGAGGTTGCTCTTAGGCTGACTTTTTATGGATGGGTATCGCAAGGGTGTCTCATGACTTAAGCAATTCCAACTAAATCCGTGATATTTAGCATCAAAACGAGTAAGCGATTCGAGCAAATAACGAAAATTCACACTCTTGCCATGGCAAAGCACCATGGTGAATCGAGCAGGACTGCTCAAGTAGGGTCATTGCCCTAGGCAGCTATAGGTGGGTTGTAAGTGTAAACTCGCACTCAAGCTGCTAGAGCCTCTTAAGAGGAGCGCAATAGCCAAAATAGTGAGCAAGAAGTTGGCAATTCTTTGCAAGCAGAGGAAGCGCAATCCGAAGTGCTAACTATGGGAAAGCAAAGAATCATGAGAGGCTTGCAACAACGGAAACCCTCCTCGATGTCCTCAAAGTGAGCTTAGAGGAGCTCTATCAAGGCCAGCAAAGTTCCTTGAGGTAGAGAACTCGTAAGAGGAGGCAGAATCTCGAATTGACATAGTGGAGTCCTAAGTCAATCGATTAATGGAAGACACACAAGAGTTTGTGCAGCACTTATAAGAATTTGTGGCAGATCTAATGACAAGGAAAACTGTGTTCACGGGAGCTCTTCATGCCGGAGGGAACAACACCCCCATTGCTCCGCCACAAAACTTAAGGACAACTAAGCTACATTGTTAGGTGGTGCTAGGGACATAAACAAACTTGATAATTTTATATTTGACATGGAGCAATATTTTCAGGCAACAAGGCTTGAATCTGTAGACACCAGAGTGTCGATCATGACCATATACTTAAATGGGGACATGAAACTCTAGTGGTGCACATGATGGGAAGAGATCCAAAAGGTCGATATCAAGTGGATACATAGGAAGACCTAAAATGGGAGTTATAAATCAATTCCTACTCGAGAACACCGGGTTCGTTGCACAAAGGAAGCTGAGACAACTCCCATTAAAACACTTCCATTTAGGACTATGTGAAGCAGTTCTCAACATTGATGTTGGATATACAAAACATAAGGATAAGTTGCTGAGCTTCCTTAATGGCCTGAAACCCTGGGCACAATAGGAGTTGCATCGACAAAATGTTATCGATTTGGTCGGGACAATAGCAATTGTAGAAAGGTTTATTGAATTTGTTTCCTTGAAGGACTTGGGAAGAAGCAACAGTCTTCAGGAAACCAACCATCTAAGTATTCCTGAGGGAAAAAGACTGCTCTTGAATAGAAGTGAAAGAGTTCCTAAAAGGGGTCGAGTTCGAAAAGCAAAGTCTCAAAAGCTGGCAGATGCTTCTTATGCAAAGGGCCACACATGGTGAGAGTACCCTTAAAAGCAAGCACTTAAATACCTTAACAACATCAATCTATCCCCCAAAGTCCTTTGGGTTGGGTTCTCACTTATATCGATTTTAGTTGGTTTGATTGAACCAACTAACCATCAGAGACCGAACCAGGACCGAATCAGACCTAAAATCCTGGTTCGATCGCCTTGGTTAACCCAGGTGCTCGCCCGAAGCGCCCAGAGCTTGGGCTCGGGCGAGCGCCCAGGCGGTGCCTGTTTGAAGCGCGCCGCCTGGGAGATTAGCGAGACGCTCGGGCCTCGCCTCACCTCGCCCGAGCGCCTTTTTAAATCACTGGGCAGTATCATGATTTCCTTTGGACGAGGCATCCGAGCATTCACAAAACTTTGACTCTCATGGAAAGGGCCTGTTATTGTCCAAAGATGAGGACTGATGTATAGGAGCATGTTCAGACGTGTCTCACATACCAACAAGATAAAGTGGAGAAAGGAAAGCTAGTGGGTCTTTGGAGCCTTTATATTAGATAGACCATTGAAGAGCATTTCCTTGGATTTCATATCAAGCTTCCTGACAACAGGGAGATTAGTGTTGATACTTGTGGTAGTCAACTGATTCTCGAAGTATGCAATGTTTCTTGTTGCTCCCCTACAATCATTAATGGAGACGGCGACCAAGTTGATGATGAAGAATATGGTAAAGTATTGGGGAGTTCCGCATAACATTATCAATAATCGAGATGCACGATTCCTGGGACGGTTTTGGATCACAAGACAAATCTACCCAACAAAGCGAAGCAAATCGAATACTTGGTGAAGTGGTGAAAATTTCCCAAAATAGAACTGGTTGGAAGCCAAAAGATGCCCTGCGACATAAAGAAAAAGTCATCAAAGCCTACCAACAAGTGTCGATGAGGGCGTTGACAAATTAAGTGGGGAAGAGTGTTATCATGCGCTCACGACACCTTCGTCAATGAACCGTTCGTCACTTATGTTTGCTTATATAATTGTCTGGTAGCGTGTTTGCCTTGTTTTTGTGTATTTTTGCTTGGTTTCTGTAACCAAATGTAGTTTACAATGCTACATAGCAATCGCTTGCTAGACTGCGCAAAACTGCTCCACAATGGCCTCGTTTTTGCGTGTTGTGGCCTTTTTTCTGCGGGCTATGGTGCAGTGCAAAACGTCAGTCATCTCAGACCCCTAGAACCACCCGAGTGGCATAGAACTATATGGGACTTTGGGGTAGCCCTATTTGGATAAACAAGTTTGCATGCAAAGTGTGCATGAACTTATCTTACACCTCGACACCTAGTTGAGCGACCGTTTACAAACTTGCAGCTATTCTTTTGCCTTTTTAAGTCTTTATTTTCGCTTCCTCTCTTTTCTCTCTTTGCATACCAAGTGTTTGTTGAATTGCTTGTAGGCTTCCCCTTTTGCAAGACATTGAGACTTGTCCACTGCTCATTTTCTAAATTTAACCAACTTTCTTTTTACAGGTCTTTCGGAACCTGTACGAGGTTGCTATTAAGCTGACCCTTTGTGAATAGATATTGCAAGGGTGATTCACAACTCAAGTAATTCCAGCTAAGTCCATGACAACCTAGACCAAAATCTTATTAGACCATAACCCTACTTGTTGCTACAATCTGAATAGCCTACCAAAACTATTAAAAAAAGTATTGTCTACTTAGATGTTGGTATCAACCAACATAGTCTGTACACTGGTATGTGGCCAGATAGGTGTGGTATATTTGGTACAATTGGTATACCATCATAATATTTGAAATCTTGATTGGCAAAATCTCAGGAACTCAAATGCAAGTTTTAGAAATTGCAGTTCCAAAATGATCATGAACTACTAAAACAATGATTCTTATAATCATTAACTATATATGAGTAATAAATAGCAAGTTATCTTCAGATATATGTTTATTGTCCACTTACTGTTCATAGCCAAGTTAGCTATAGCACCAGCAGTGACTCGATGAATATTTGCATCTTCCGATGATTCAAGAAGCAGAAGAAGAGTATCCAGGCCTCCTTCCGCAACGATCCTTTCCTGATTTACATCTGCAAAATGCAGAGGCAAGCAACTGAGATGGAAATAAAAAAAGAAAGATAATGTAGCACTAAAATGACATGTTAATAATTACATGCAATTAAAGGCAGTCGTAGTCGAAAATCCTAAATTGACTTTGAGATAACAGCTACAATAGAATCATGACTGAGGAATAAATCTTTTTACTTCCTTTTACTGCTAGCGGAACTTAAAAATCAGAATTCAGGAAAAAAAAACTTCTACTAGAAAAAGTCAGCAAAATTCAAGTTTTTATGCAAACATATCAATGACTGGAATAATCCGACATCAGCTTTCACAATCTTTAATTTAGACTAGTTGGCATCAAAGTATTAGTTCATAGAGAAACAAGAGTCGAACACTGTTGTGCATAAGCTACTGGTTGCAAGGGAAAAGAGAAGTATATAAAAACTAACATAACAATAGCTACAGTCTCGAGTTAAAACAGCTACTTCAAACAAGAGAGGGAACCATAAATCACAAAACACAGAAGCATATCATAGTTAACTTTCATTTCCTAGTCATGACTTCTACACTTGAAGCTATCATCACAATGTAATGTGCATCACTGTAGATATTAGTATAGTTCGCCTTATTGGTCCGTACCAGTATACCGACCAACTATCGGTATGGTACGTACCGAGTTATACCAAGCTGTACTAAGCATATTAACACACGATACATTGGGGTATACCAATGTACCGCCTATACCAGTCCCCTATCAAATTGATATGTACCATCCATACTGAACGGTACACCATGGTACGACGAGCCTTAGATGTTAGCATAAGTTTTGCTTTGTACCTGAAACCTAAATCCAATATATCATTTTTCAGCAAGAAAGATGATAAATGTGCAGATACATAGAATGAATACAAATAGCACCACTAAGGAAATCCTAAAAAAATAAAAAATAGCAGCTTTTTACAATAGATGGATGTTGACCCAGTCAAATTATGCAAATATTATACAAATGATCACAAGTCTTAAGGTTCTAAACAAAGGCTATCTGCCATGTTTTTTTCAGAAGAAAGAATATCAAAAGATACATTTCATCTAGATACCCAGGATTTCATCAGGGATAATTGTGGGATAAAGTCTGGGAAGCCTTATGCAAGTCTTGCATGTTCATGTACTGTTACGATTGAAGAATTTATTCAAGAAAGATTTCTAATAGTCTATTACATATTTATTATTTCTTCATTTAGTGGTTATTAGTTATTCAATATGTAATTATGGATATTAAGCACGTGATTCGTTAATGATGGACAAAATTTGGTGGCATATTTTGAGCAAAAATTGTGATCGCTTAAACTCTGCATTGTTTGCAATACAGAGAGAGATCTGTTGTGTAATTAAGTTTGGAAGCTAAGAAACCCAAATCTTGTGTGGTAGCAATTTTTCAGAATGAAACTCATAACTATGGATTTTGACAATTCTGAAACTAGCTGAGGACAACCGCTACCTTTTGGGGTTAGTGGCATGTAACTGAAGCCATAGAGTAGAAATCTGGTCTATGTCCCAGGCCAAGGTGTCAAGGCTAGCTAGTGAGGCAAGTCTTCTGTTAAAATTTATCATACAGAGACAATTTATTTTGGGTTCACATGTTGTGTATCCTAATCATATGTTAGTTGTTGTTTTTTGGATGCTCAAATTGGAATCCACTAATTCCATGCTTGGTCCTTTATTATGCTGTCTAGCCCTCTAAGTTATCTTCAAGAAGCTAAAGACCAATAGCATATATGTTGAAACTAGTATGAAGGTGTTTTGAAGATTCTTTTAAACAAGTCTGTTTCTTTTGCTGGTAAAATACTGGATATGATCCACAGATTAACCTTGAGTGCACTTGGGTTGAACATCTATGCATACAAGGTTAGTGAAAGCTCCTTTTTCAAGTTGGAAAACGACAGCATTCCAAAAGAGATGGTATACTTGTACAGTCAAGCATATCTAATCACAAATGTCTGGAATTAATTGGTGAATTGATCTAATATAATTGTTATCCAAATCTCAAAAACACAGGTTACAGGATTTTACATACCTTCAGCAGCAAGATTAGCTACTACCTTTACTGCATGAATTTGCACATCCAAGTCCTCAGACTTCAATAAGGCTAATATATTTGATAGACCAACTAAAAAATGCAAATGAGTGCATGTTAGAGAAACAGCGGTGGATCAGAAAGTTCTCAATATCCAAATGTAAATCAACATTTACGGTCTTGCCTTCCTCAAATATTTTGGAGATAGTGTCCTTTTGACCAGATATGGTCTCCCTTGACCTGTTGGACTTGGGAATATTTGCAGGACCTCCAAGTGACAACGTTGATTTAGTTGTAATATCTCCCTTATATGGCCTTTTAGACTGAAAGAATCACAGTTATTGAAAAAAGGGTGATCATAACCAACATGCATGTAGAAGTTAATAAATAACCTTTTGAATAAAAAGAACCACTACCTCATACTCTGCATTGTCATCATTCAAGGCATTTTTCAATATGATAATTTCATCTTCAAGGCACCTTCTTTTCCTTTCTTCATATAGCAGTTTGTCTTTCAAAGTTTTAAGCTCTCCATTCAACAACTCCTAGAAAGAAAAAAAAATAACTCCTAAATATCCTCAAAGGGTAAAAGAATTTATCAATAAATTATAGAAATTTTTCCTCAAAAATTTCTTTCATCTCCCTTTCTTTTGTAAGTGATCAAAATCTGAATATACCTACAAAGAGTTAAATGGTCATATACACTCGTAAAATTTGTTGATCCTTGCATATACTCATTTCAGGTATATAAAGACGTCCGCAAGATTTTGCCTCTATATCTTGTACTTGTGAAGAACCCTTATTATAAGGACATATATGCTTCACTTCAAAAAGGGAAGAAATGCATATATAAGATATAGTATAACTTAGTTACAAATATGAGTTTATTCATTAATACTTGTTTATACCATGTATAGAAAAAGACTTCAAATCATCAAACACGACATTGAAGAATATCTGGAAATATGATCTAAAATTTTAAGTTAAATAAGTTCAGACCTTTTCTAGCGAAAGTTCGTTGTTCCTTGCTCTTAGGGACTGAATTGTACTTGCAGCATCTTCATTCAACTTTAAGATTTCCCCTTTAAGCTCATCAATCTCTTTCTCCTGCATCTGACATTTTGAAGTAAATGACTATATAAGAAGTTTACATTTCGGTGATTGATGCTAAGTAAATGACAACTCAATTGGTTATCTTAACACCTTGAGACTCAGAAAACAATCACAATGAAAAGGCCATAACAATGATGGAGCAGGTTCCTAAACAGAAGAGATTGTAAGTTTTGTAATAACTTGTTGCCGAGTATAACAACTCATAGTTCCTCGTTCAATGAAGATTCAGAATGAAGATATTGAGTTCAGAAAAGGGATAGCCACTAATATAGTGGGTTCAGAAGGAAATATAAGGCAAAAACAACAACAAATATCAAGTCTAAGTGCACCAGACTCATAAACCAGTTGGCAACAGTATTTAATCACACATAGCTCTAATATGTATGTGTATAATCATAAAATTCATTAACCACATATTGCTCTTAATCTACTTTATTCTTCCACATGGAACAAAAAAAGAATTATCACCAATTCCTAAATACGCAGTTGTCGAAGGAAAAAAGTAACTTTGGTAACAACAGTAGGATATTTAACATCTAAACCAATGATATTAGATCAAAATTTTGTAGTCCTATCAAACTCACAGGCCATCTTAAGTGGGTGTGACCACATCAAAGGGCAGTATGGAAATTTCTAGGAGGTTAGTTAAGTGCTTCAAGTAAAATAACTCAAGAAGTGTGTTTTTTCAATTGTAAAGTCTCATATATGCTAGACAACCTTACCAGGAATATAATTTGGATTAAGATGGTTAAGAGTACATTATATGATTATCTGTTTTGATCACTGAAAAAATAAATTTAACATATAAATGATTCCCTGCAGAGAGCTTCTGAATTAATCCTTGAATTAAAGGAGTCATAAGAAATCATAATGACTTCATGGTGCACAGCTAACATAGACTTGTAAGCCTTTTATGCTGCAAGGTTCATTTTCACTGACACAATCCACAAAAATACATCATCCTACTCACTGAATAGATTGTGGCATCCATTTTGGATTACCAAACACATCGTTCATAATGATCTGGGAGCAAAAGCAACTAACTTCATAGAATGTGATTTAATCAATGAAATATTCTATTATTGTTTTCATACTTTTCATCAAATAATTCAATGTTCTTCGTCCATTGTTCTTTTTGTTCAGACAGTAAGAAAGAACACATACAGCCAAGTTCAATCAAACATGAGTAGCAATATACCAGACTTTCCTAGCATTTTGCCAAAGGGATCTTTGATATCACAATAGAACTGCAGAACAAGCAGAGGACAACAATTGCAGATGTTGCAATCATGAGAAGATTCATACGATAGATCCAAATTAATTCATAGCATGAAAAAGGAGAAGACTACCTGAACTGACTTTTTATTACCACTCGGATAATTCTTCATCCCAGACAACTGTTCTTCTAAATCTGCACAACGAGAGGATTCATCTTCTTGCTGTTTAATTAACTGTGCTATTTTCTTCTCATACATCTGTGTCGTCTCTGCAAGTACCTTCTGATAATTTAAATTTTCAAGCTCCTGTTGCTACTAGGGATAATACTTCAATTAGCAGAAAGACATGCAATATAGCAATTAAAAGATTTATCATACACACATCCAAATATATAGTGCTTACAGCTATAGACTGTGAACAATATAAAGCAGGGAAATCCAGGCAAATAGGCTTGATATACATTAAAAAAAAATCATAAAAGAGATAATTGTCATTCAAGATGTGTAGTATGGCAGATGGAACAAATTGGTGATTAAAAGCATGGTTCGTAATTTCGTACCGTACCAGAGTATCGAGTTCAGCTCGGTACAATACGGTACGAGTATACCGAGCGGTACACTCTAGCATACCACTCAATATATAAATATATATATTAATAAAGTTCAAAAAAAATAAATAAAGGGGCGACGTCACGTCGTTTCTTCTCCCTGTGTAGGGAGAAGAAAACCTCGAAGCCTCAGCGACGTTGCCGAGGTTTCTTCTCCCCACGCCGAGACTTCTTCTCCCTGTGTGGATTAGAAGAAGTCGTCGATGATGCCGAGGTCTCCCCGTGAAGCTTCGGCAACGTCGCCGAGGTTTCTTCTTCCCACGTCGAGGCTTCTTCTCCCCGCGTAGATTAGAAGAAGTCGCTGACAATGTCGAGGCCTCGTCACCTCAGACGAGGAGGCGACATCTCATCTGCGGCGTCCGGCAAGGTAGGGTGACGACAGATTGGGATCGTCAAGGGAGAGCAACGTCGGATCTCCAAGTTCTCCCTTTTCTTCCCCCTCTTCTTCTCCCTATTCTTCCTTCTCCCTCGGCTAATACCGCTTGGTAGTGGGACGATCGAAATCGACCGTCATCGATCGATTTCAGGTGGTAATGAAGCGAAAACAACCTCAATCGACAGTACCGCCCAATAGCGGGCAGTCCGCATACCGATCTGCTAGCGGGCCAGTACGTACCACTCGTATCATTCGAAATTAAAACCCTGATTGAAAGAAGCTGTCTGACTAGGGGTCAATGTTGTTCTTTTCATCCCTACTCATGCCAAATATGCTTAAACCAGTATTTCTCCTTGAATCTGTGACTTCATTAGTACTCTCAAAATTTCTAATTTAAGAACAAAATGGTAGGATATTACTGTTCATATTGATAGTCCTGCTTTAAGGTTTCCATACTGATATATATGCAATCATTTCTAAACACCATGATATGTTTCTGATTTTAGCATAATTGATAGGAAAATTAGCCCATATTTGTAGCAACGGCTACAACATAATACATTTCCATGACCATTTGCGGGTGGTTGTCAAAACCAAAGTATGCAATGCCGTACCATACCGGTGTTTCGAGGTTAGCTCGGTATGGTACGGTACCGACATACCGAGCGGTACACTAGGGCATACCGAACGGTACACCAGGGTTTACCGAGCGATTTCCTCTTATTGTAGCACGGGGGTAGCACTGCTACAGTATAACACTGTAGCACTGTCCGTCCGGTAACAGACGATCCGCGTACCGGTATGCCGTCGGACCGGTACGTACCGCCCGTACCAAGCGATACCATTCGAAATTGCATACCATGATCAAATCAATACTTACCTTCAAACAATGTTTTTAATATTTAAGTTCCTAAAACAATTGCTTGCCCCCTGAGAACAAAGAAATCACAAGATTCCCAAATATCAAATTTATTAATTTAAAATATTTATTTTCTCTGTCCTCTTTGCTCAATAACATCGAAATAGGTATATATAATTCTATATGCATATCGTGGCCTCTTGCTTAACTTGATGTTGTTTTACATTTCAAAGCAGTGACATATACTTAATCGAACCACTGATTCCTACCATTTGATCAAGAAATGAGATTTAGCTAGCTACATCAATCTTATAAAACCAACATTATTAACATCATCCACAATCAGCTCAAGAATCCAGATTTGGCACAAAAATTAAGAAAATTGTTAGATAAAAATGCTATTAATGATCAATTGGAAAATAAAGCCATATTTCAAAAATATTATCTACTTATTGCACCTAAGTCAAGAAACACTCAGTTGATTCAGGATGCAAATTGTTTTAACAAGAATCATAAGCAAACACTATATGCTTAAACCATCTATGTTTACTTCAACTGAAACAATTTCAAGCAACAAAACTCTTGCGAAGATACAAAAAGAAATCTTACACCAATATCCATCCTTCCACACAAAGAAATATATAACGTTCGCGACAATGACAACAACAACAACAAAGATCTCTCAAGGAAACTAATTAGTACCTTGGCTTGTTTTAATGATATTTCAAGATGGCCAACTTCTTGAGACAATTTATCCTTTTCGCTCTTCTGAATGTTCAATGCCTTCAATAAACTTTGGGTCTCTAATACCAAATGATTTCTTTCTTTCTCCAAATGCTGAAATCAGTCATATGAAAAAAATAAAAGCATAAAATAAAGAGCAGAAATTTTGTAAAAATGCAGGATAGCAGAGGTAAAAGTATAGCTGTTAGAAAAGTTGTGGAATAAAAATATGCTTATTATGTTAGAAAAATAAATGCATGATGCCATTTAGAAAAACATTAAATTTAATAGAAAACAGAAGTAGTTGCCAAAATAGTCAACTAATAGTTGCCTAGCCCATTGGGAGATATCACTGCCAGCAGTGTTTATCAGTATGTCAAAAGAGGGATGGATATTGAGGCTACTGACTAGTACAGTTGGAAGACCATTTGGCATCTTAAAGTAGCACTCAAAATCAAACTTTTCTTATGGAAGTTCTGTTGGAATCGCTTACCCACCTCAGCTAGATTTTCTTACATATTCCATTGTGAAACCGACCATGTTATATTTGTCAACTTGTTTCGGATTCTCACCCTTGCATCTTTTTTTATTGTCCTTTCATCAATGTTGTTTGGAATTTGATTCAAAATCATCTGGGAGTTTACTTTAAACTGTTTAACCACTGGAAATAGGGAGCTTGGCTTGATGAAGGAACAAATATGGGTAACTCTGCATCCATGTGGATTAGATGCGGGCAGTATAGCCAGCATGCTCTGGTTCCTTTGGTTAAACAGAAAGGATCCTAAGTTTCACAACCACCATACCGAACCTTTCTCTTTGTTCAGCAAAGCTATTGCTGCCACATTTGCCTACCGCACTGTTAGTAATCTACCTGAGGGGACTTGTAACATGCCAAAATCACTTTCTTTCTCTTTTTCCTTACCACCACCTCCTTCTTCTAGCCATTCTTCACTTCCTACTTCTAACCATCCTTCACCCCCAACTTCTTTCTCCCTTTTCTGTGATGGTTCTTATGATTGCTCTAAAGGTCTTGCAGAGCAGGGTTCATCTTGACGGACTCCAAGCTAAAGATCATTGCTGCTGCTGCCAGCCATGCCAAACCTCCTCCTTCTTGGCTGAAGCCTTAGCAATTCTGCGAGGTCTTTGTTTTGCTGAAGCCGAGGGTCTCACTAATTTTAGCATCTGTACTGATGTGCTAATGTAATCAATTTTGTCTTGGAGCTCAATGTGCCCCCTTGGTCCATTAGGCTTGTTATAGAAGACATTAAAGCTCTTCTTCATAGGCTTACTGTTTTGTTCTTTACACACCCCTGTAGCCTCAATTATGAGGCTCATATTCTTGCTAACATATGGGAGGTTAGAGGTCTTACTCGATTTTGGGGAGGTCATGGCTCCAATCCCATCCATACTTTTGTTGCACTGACCTACTTTAACGCTTAATAAATAGTTTTTTCCTTTTTCAAAAAATATAGCTACATACACAAAATTGTTACAACAAGAAATGAAAATTGTATTTCAGAAACAAAATAAAGATATAAATGATACCTCACATTTAACAGAAATTTTCTTTTCTGTTTCAACTAAGAATGCTTCTTTCTCTTTCAATTTTTTCTCCAACTGCTCTTTCTCATTTTCTCTAAGCTTTTGCTGTCTATCGGTCTCTGATGTTAAATAGTCCACATGGTACTCAAGCTTTCTACAAAGACTCTCATAATCAACTTCCTCTTTTAGTTTGACAGCATTAACTACTTTCATTGCCTGCAGACATCATAAACTGCATAAAGAAACTCCCAAAAAATGATACATAAACCATGATAGTTATTTGAAATATATATTGCATGTGACTTCAGTAAATACACATCCAATTCTAAACAGAAGTTAAGTATTAAATAGATGGCATGCCTCCTGTGATCCGAGTCAATTTATTAATGACGATTGAAAACTAAGAAGTACTAGCTCTTCCTAAGTGTAATTTCTTGAAGAGTGCATTAGAAAACTAGAATCAGAATGACAATTGCATGTAAGCCAACTTAATTACATCCACAACAATTGCATTTTGTTGGTGATTAAATTGAAAGGACTACGTGTAACAATACGCCATTTCCCCCTTTCTTGACTACAAGTAATGAATAACATATATTACATAATGAATATATGACTATATGAAAATATTGAGGAAAAAAAAGGATATATAGAGCCAAGATAACAACAAGAGAGAGAGAGAGAGAGAGAGAGAGAGAGCAATCATTTTGTTCACTATCTCATACACAGTAATGCTTGATCTTTCCCTAGAAAAAAATAGAACATATCCACAAAAATCACAAATTAGTTCATAATACAATGATACATTCCAAGAAGAAAAAAGAGTATAAGATAATGTGCAAAAGCATCTACAACAGGTTCATCAAGAAAGTAGTTACATTGGTCCACAAATTTCTTCAAGCATGATATATATAACATATTCATGTAAGAATGATAACAAAATAATATAAATGGTATCACTAAAGTTGATTCAACATATGATGATACCTTCCAAGAAGCAAAAAGAGTATTAGATAATGTGCAAAAGCATCTACGACTAGTTCATTAAGAAAGTAGTTACATTGGTCCACAAATTTCTTTAAGCATGATATATATGTAAGCACAGATGCATTATATCAACATATTCATGTAAGAATGATAACAAAATAATACAAAAGGTATCACTAAAGTCGATTCAACATAATAACACTGATAGTATTTTAGGACTCTAGCTAGGAGAGTCCTAATTGAGAGGGACATTCAAGTAAAACCTACCTAAGCCGACCCTTATTAAAGAGGTGAAGAGGACGGCTAGGGTTAGGGGGTTGTTTCTTAGAGAAAAATTAGGAGTTGTAAAGGAATAGGAGTCTTGAGTAGGAGTCATATTAGGAGTTTGTTAAAAGTAGAAGTCTTGAGAAGGAGTCCTATTAGGAGTTTGTTAAAAGTAGAAGTCTTGAGTAGGAGCCCTATAAATAGCCATGTATTCCTCCTCTTTCCAAAAGCAATAGATGAATCTTTTCTGCAGCCTTTGAGTAGCAACTTGGAGGGAGGAATCCCTATAGAGTTCCAAGGAGGCTGATCCCCTAAAGAGATCAACCCTAAGTTTAGAATCTGCACGAGTTCTATCACCTGGTATCAGAGCAGCGTTCTTGGCGTCTCGCTGCCCTTCCACAGCCATCCATCATCCCTCCACAGCCGCCCAAAGCAATTCTCACAATTGCTTAAAAGATCGTCGCCAAATTTCGCCATCATCTCCACCACCGCGGATCATCCTTTGATCTTCCCGTGAATTACAACAGGTTCTGGTCTCCTACCTTACTGTTGCTGCAATTTAGTTATCCATATTCGAAAATCCAAAAAAAAATTGTTCCTATATTACTGCATAAACTTTTCGTCGCAAAGTTTTCATCTCTATGACAAAAGATACATTGCAGAATTCCAGCCACATAGCACAGTCTGTTTGATCTTGCTACTACGTTTTTTCTATCCAAATCTCTACGAAATTTTTATGACAGCTTTGACACTTCCTAACAGCAGATTTCCCTTTGGTTTTGTCAAAAAATTCTTAATATAAACCATTGATCTTTTACGTCTAAACTGCTATACTTGAAAATCTGCAATATAAAATTTCAACTGCATAGCACAGTTTGTTTGATCTTGCTACTACGTTTTTTCTGTCCAAATCTCTACGAAATTTTTATGATAGATTTGACACTTCCTACAGTGGATTTCCCTTTGGTTTCGTTGAAAATTTCTTAATATAAACCACTGATCTTTTATGTTTAATCTGCTATACTTGAAAATCTGCAAAAAATTTCAGCCACATATTGTTGCCTTAACCGATCTATTTGCAATCCTTTTTTAACGAAATTTCTTATACACTTCATAGATCATCTAGGCTTCCATCTAAGATTGATCTATTGAGGAATTCATCTCTAAAAACGATTTTGTGTTGCTGCAAATTTTCGTCGCAAACCGCTGAAATTTTTCGACGTGAATTCTGCTATCGCAACTTGCACCAATTTCCTTACTGTTATACTGCCGAAATTTTCTTGATTAAATTGGACATCCTTGCTGTCATATAAACTGAGATTTTGCTGTCAATTCCCTCCTCAAATCTCTCAAGTTTTTGGTGAAAATTTCATCGAGAAACCGCTATTTCTTCGACAACAATTCTGCTCTTATAACACAGCACATACTTGCAGCAACTTCCACTGATTTCTATCAAAACTTTGCTGTCATCTACCACAGATCCAAAACTTTCATCCACAGCCCTATAACTCCACCAAACCACACCCTCAAACTGCACCCAAAACAGCCACAAAACAAGCCTAAACCGCAGCCTACATCCACCAATCCACCAACCCTTTCGACCATCAATTCTCTCAACCTATACATGCCTTTAACCCGACAACAAAAGAGAGATCTTAACATCACAGATTTGGCGGCATATACTATGGCATTTGAGGAGGCAATCAATGTTAAATTCATAGCCTTCGAGACGCGAATAAAGGATAAGATTCGGACGCTCTTTACCGAACTCAGATTGGGCCGACCACCAAGCCTGAAGAAATCACATCAAGGAGAGAGCTCTGCCCAATCGCACAAAGCCCGAAGAGATGACTTCCAAGGGAGGGGAGGCTCTATGACCGACCCCAACTATCCACGCATGAGGGTGGACTTCCCTAGATGGGAAGAAGGATACCCGATTGGTTGGATCTCGCGCGCGGAGCGATATTTTCGGTACCACAAAACCGCGAACGCATCTATGGTGAAAATTGCAACTATACATCTTGAAGGGGATGCCATACACTGGTTTGACTGGTTTGAACACACTCATGGAGTCCTCTCATAGCGACAATTCAAAGAAGGACTGTTGATCCGCTTCAGACCAACCGATTACGAGAACATTGACGGACAACTAGCAAAGATCCGACAAACCTCCACCATTCAAGAGTACCAAACCATGTTTGAAAGGTTATCTAATCAAACTCATGATTGGTCTCAAAAACAACTATTGGGGACCTTCATTGAGGGCTTGAAACCGAAGATCCGGGGAGAAGTTAAAGCGCGACAACCATACACGCTTATGGCAGCCATCTCTTTCGCATGATTTCAAGAGGAGCAATTGAATCATGAAGCCCGGAGGACTAGGGTTGCTCCCCAACCAGTAATACCGAAGCCCTCAGCCCCCCTACTATCAACAGAGTCCTTGCACCAAAAGGTTTGACAAGAGAAGAACTTCGGGAGCAATCTGCGAAGGGGTTATGTTGGCATTGCGACGAGCCGTGGAGCCGTGAGCATCGCTGTAGTAAAAGGAGACTTCTTATGATTGAACCAGTAGAAGAAGAAGTCATTGAACATCTAGAAGAGAGCCTTGAACATGAAGAAGAAGATGTAGAAGAAGAGCCACAACCGACCGAAGTTACAGTACATGCACTAGCCGGCTACTCAAACCCGCAAATGATGAAAGTTGGAGGCCTTCTCAAACAACAACCGATCACTGTTCTCATCGACACGGGCAGCACTAATAACTTTTTAAACAGTAAGGTTGATGTCCGGATGGCCTTACCTATCGAGAATTGCAGCAAGTTTGACGTTAAGGTCGCCGACGAATGGATTTTGAAGTATAATCATAGGCGCCCGCGGGTGAAACTATTGCTGCAGGACCAAGAGATAATTGCATATTTCTTCCTCCTCCCTATTGATGATCATGAGGCCATGCTCAGAATTAAATGGTTGACGACATTAGGTGATGTTTCTTGAAATTTTATGAAACTAATTATGAAATTTTACAGTAAGGAGAAACATATGATATTGCACGGGAAACGTGGGGGCGACGTAACGACAATTTGTACACAACAAATGGAGAAGGTTTTGTATAAAGCATGCAGCGGCATTTTGGTACAACTTGAGTAGCAAACTAAGGGAGAGCCAATAGAATTTGAAGATCCAAACCTACTTCCTTTGCTTGCTGAATTTTCAAATATATTTGACGAACCGCGCAACCTACCTTTTACCCATCGGCATGATCATTGTATAACGATTCTTCCAGGCAAACCTCCAACAAATACGCAGTCATATCAGTATCCACATCTCCAGAAGGATGAAATAGAAAGGATTGTAAAAGAGATACTCGAAACAAGAGTTATTCGACCAAGTTGTAGCCCCTACTCTTCACCGGTGCTCCTCGTACGAAAGAAAGACAGAGCATGGCGATTGTATGTTGATTACCGAGCTCTCAATGGCATAACCATCAAGAACAAATACCTTATTCCAATAGTCGATGAATTGCTAGATGAAAGAGAGCACAAATCTTCACAAAGCTGGACCTTTGATCCGGGTATCATCAAATACAAGTGTGCAAAGAAGACATACCAAAAATCACCTTTTGAACACACAACGACCACTACGAATTTTTGTTTTCTTCAACAGAAGGTGGAATATCTTGGGCATATCATATCAGAGGAAGGTGTGGCAGTGTACCCCTCCAAAATTGGAGTAATGCAGAACTGGTCGACCTTGAGGAAAATAAAATTGCTACGTGGCTTTCTCGGTTTAATAGGCTACTACCGCAAGTTCATAAAAAACGATGAAAAGATCAGTGCACCAATTACTTCCTTGCTGAACAAAGATGTTTTCCAATGGTTAGACAAAGCCACCACTGCCTTCAACAAACTTAAAGTCGTAATGACGACAACGCCCGTACTAGCGCTACTCGACTTCGGCAAGACTTTCGTTATTGAAGCTGATGCCTCTGGTGTCGGAATTGGTGTTGTACTAATGCAAGATGGCCGCCCCCTCGCTTATACCAGTAAGGCATTATCTCCTTCCCATCTCAAAATGACTATTTATGACAAGGAGATGCTCACGATTGTACATGCGGTGGCCAAATAGAGATCGTACTTGATCGGGTGACGCTTTCAAATCAAGAACAACCATAAAAGCCTAAAATATTTCTTGGAGCAGAAGATATCTTCTCCCGAGCAACAAAAATGGGTAATAAAGCTTCTTGTATATGATTATGAAATAACTTACAAAAAAGGGAAAGAGAATATTGTTGCATATGCGCTTTTATGGCTTCCAAAGCAAGCTGAATTTTTGGTCATTTCACTTTCAACTAGTGACTTCCTTAAGGATATTAAGAGGGAATAGCAGGAAGATCCGGAGACCAGTAAGATCATAAAAAAATTGGAGGAAGCACCAAGCTCCGTGGCTCATTACAATTGGAACTCAAAAGAATTACGCTATAAGGGACGGATTGTGCTTGTGACAAATTCTACTTGCATCTTCACGAGCAGATTTTGGACAAAGTTATTTCATATACAGGGTACTAAATTGAAAAGGAGTACGACATATCACCCACAAACCAATGATTAGACGGAAGTTGTAAATAGGTGCTTGGAGACAACTCAAAGCCACCCACCAAATATGACTACCCAAGAAGAACTCCAAACCCAGCCAAGTGCCATTATTGATCGACGGATCGTGACTCGACGACGACGACCCACTACTGAAGTGCTAATACAGTGGGCGAACCGACCAACAGAAGATGCCACTTGGGAGAACTATAACTACTTAAAGATCAAATTCCCAGAATTTATGAATCGTCAGCCTCGAGGACAAGGCTGATTTGAAGAGGGCGGGTCTGTTAGGACTCTAGCTAGGAGAGTCCTAATTGAGAGGGATATTCATATAAAACCTATCTAAGCTGACCCCTATTAAAGAGGTGAAGAGGCCGGCTAGGGTTAGGAGGTTGTTTCTTAGAGAAGAATTAGGAGTTGTAAAGGAATATGAGTCTTGAGTAGGAGTCCTATTAGGAGTTGGTTAGAAGTAGGAGTCTCGAGTAGGAGTCCTATTAGGAGTTAGGGTTTAGAAGCTCTATAAATAGCCATGTATTCCTTCTCTTTTCAAAAGCAATAGATGAATCTTTTCTATAACCTTTGAGTAGCAACTTGGAGGGAGAAACCCCTATAAAGTTCCAAGGAGACCAATCCCCTAAAGAGATCAACCCCAAGTTTAGAATCTGCAAGGGTTCTATCACAGTAACCATTCATCTCCTCACATCAAGATATGATTAGCCTTCTTGAAGCTGAAACCTCTCTCTCTAAATGTGTGTGAAACTTGAAAGGTGTATCAGCACGTATCTTGCTAGCATTGTTAATTCAAGATTGTCAAAAGTCAAAAGGCATGGGCAGTGAACTCTTAAAGCTTTTAGGCCATGTGCACAAGCAGGCTTCTAGGGAAAAATATCATAAAAATAATATATAAAATTTACAAGCACTTTAAACATTTTATATTTCCCAAAAATATTATATAAAATACCATATGATCTACTGCATTAACTTATCAATAGAGAAAAGATGTTCTTGATAGTCACTGGCTCATACTGAACATTTGAACAAGAATCCAAAAACTTGTTAAATCTTCACCTCAATGTTTCATTTAATGGTGTTTTAACAGGAGGTATTACTCAAATGACAAACATACATAAAATTAGAAGATAAAATAAAACCACAATAAAGAATATTGGAGCAACCAATCTAGTAATTGCCAAAAAATTCGCACTTGTTGCATTAGTCAAAATGATAAATATTTTTTTTCCTAATTTTCTAAGTCAAATCCCATCACTCCTTGGTAATAATTATTTGTAACTAGCGACTGCATAAGAGAAAAAGCAAGCCTCAGGCACCAGGCACCCAATCTGACCCAGGTGAACCACCTAGGTGCCCTAATAGTATTTCTTATAATAAGCATTTGGAAAGGCTTACTTAGGGCATCAGATGATTTCATCTTAAGTAAAAACATGGTGTGTATTTAAATAATTCATGAAGATGCTGTTTCTGTGGAGTAACATTTAACATTTTAAAAAAGGACACATTTTAATATTTGCCAAAATATACCTTCCATCCATTTATTGGAACAAGCAGAAGTTAGCCTCGATAAAACTGGATGAAAGGGTATACAATAAAGTGGAAGACGATCTTTTGTTATGTTTCTGTCATGTTAAATAAGATAATGCACTTAAAACTACATACAAAAATTGAACAAACAGTCTAGAAGGTTGAACCTGAAACTTTTAGAAGAAGACAGATAAGAACACTATCTTCCATAAATATGCATATGCTACACACAACTATAACTCTTTCCATTGTTTTTCAACAATACTAACCCTCTGTCCAAACATTATTGTACTTGCTGTTTCAGAATAGTATCGTGCTGATGGACCAACCGTAACTATGAGAGATGTCCGTGCAGTGCCTACAAATAGAGGTTAAAATAAGATCACATGTAAACTTCATTTACAAAGCAAAATGAACTCTTATAGAACAAAACAAGTAACAGCAACATTTGTCATCATTTTCATCACACAAACATCTACTGGTTCCGTTCATTATGGAAACACAATAACTAGTGAATCATAAAACATTAGGAGAGTGGTACACAAATACCAAACAGAAACAATCCAGAATGAAAAGCACAATGCGATACAGAAAGTCTCTGCCACTAAAAAGAAAAGTGCTGACATTTGATTCTAAGAGATTAAAAGAAAAAATAATAACAAATCAATTCAGAAGCAAAAGGTAGATAAAATCACCTCCAAATGAATCACGAAGCAACCTCGTGAGCTTGGACTCTCTTGTTGGTATATAAGGACTGTTCTCAGCTAGTGCATTAATGCATTTCCCCAAGGAAGTCAGCGAAAGATTAATAAATTTAGTCTCCTCAATCATGTGGCCTTCAATGCCTACAAAATTTGATTGGCATAGTGAAGAGATGTGATGTAAGCTGCTAATGACTTCTCAGAACTTTTAATTATCAGACTAATATCTCTCGAATCATAACCTGAAACATAATGGGTATAAACTAGATCATCAACCAGCATAAATGTTCAAATTAAAGTACGTAAAGGAAACTTCGATTGAGCTAATCCATCAACTCTTGACAAAGATCATTTGCAGATAAAGTACGTTACTTCATTTACCAACTTCATTCTGGATTATTTAGTTTTCTCAAATTTTGTCAACTCACAATATTTAAATTTCTAAGACTTAATGGATGCTTTATCTCAACCTTCCACTTAGTCAAGTTTAATGCCATGCATTGATGGAATATCACATAGCAAGAGGACGCTCTCACTTCCCAATGGAGATTTTACTCATTGGAAGCCAAGCAGTTCTCCGTGCCATTATTAAGCTTACAGGGACCAATGATGCGAACCTTAATGATTTGTTTATGAGTACAGAGCCTGAAGTATGGTTCAACAATTACATTCCAAAAAGCCTGTTGATGCAACTGAAACATTTGAGAGTAGCCTTGGCCAAGCTAAGGCCAAAGTTTAGTACCATGCTTAAAGCCAGTAATGCAACGTTCTCAACATTAGTGGACTTGAACAATCTAGTTCGATTTAATGGTTGTCATCAGAGTAGAGCCTGTGATTAAAGCTAAGTTCCCGATGAAATTAGAAAATATTCTGAATCATTTGGGTAAACACTTGACAGCATCACATCTTCGTAATTGCATAAAAGCCATGATTCTAGCATATGAACCCTGATCCTGCCACTAAATCATCTATATCATAATATTGCACATGAAAGAAGGAAATAATATTAAAAAAAATGTATCAATATAAGCATACCTGATTTATCTATTCTTTCTGATCCTGCAAGGTCAACAATCAGCAACTTGCTTTTCAAAAGATGTGGTAAATGGTGAGAAGATAGCTCACTATTTGTAACATTAGCCAGGGAGGAGGCATCATTTTCCTTTTTTCCTTCCAAAGATCTATTAATATGGACCTAGATACATGTCAAAAAGCAAGGATAGGCAGAAGATAACTCTGATCAAATAATAATGCAAACATAGACAATTAAAAAAATTCTAACCTTGAAATAATAAAAGATGGGAGTAGAAACAAAAAATATACAACTGCAATAAATTATATCATGAAAGAAATAAAGATAAAACAGAACTAGACAACAAAAACTATTACAGGAGTTGCACCCACCACTAGTACTGCATGACTTCGAGATGATTCAGTATTTAGCTTAGTATTCGCAGCATGGCGGTTTGCTTCACCAACTTGCAACAGCTCCAAGAATTGATTAAGATCTTTTATCTGAACAATTGCAGAACCAGGCAGGGACACCTCACCAGTCTTTGGATCCTCAACTACAGGGATGTTAGTTTTCTCTGGTGCCAGCAGATCTTGTATGGTTTCTAGGTACAACTAAAGAAGAAAACAAGAATAAGGCAATCACCCTTATTATATTTAGAAAAAATTGTATTGACTACGCTGTAACATGTAAGGAAATTCTTTCAACTGTGAGGAGTAAAATTTTCAAATAATTTAATTACACCACTAACCAAACATTCATTAAGAATTTTTTGCAAATGCTCAACACTTTCAAGGGATATAACGTTATTTCCTCATGTAGTTCAAAGGCACCCTAGTGCATGAAACACTGGCGAATTCGGCATTTGGGAACGGTCAACCAATGCAACTTAAGTGGAGAAGCAGCTATTTCCATCAGAATCATGGTCACTCAAGTTGCTTTCCAATGACATACTATTCTTCAAAATTTTAAATTGTCTTCAATATAGAAAGTGTCCTTTAGATTTTAGAAGATTAAAAAAGCAGGAGTACAAACAAAGAAACCATGGAGAAGTAAACAGATCGGAAAGTAAATGACAAAATCACTCCAAAAATTAATAGTTTATGTCAAAAAACAAAGTTCCCAGGTGAAGATTACATATGGTAGTTCCTCACAGAAGAAAAAATAATACTAAAAAAATAGATTTGTAGTGTTAAATTAATAAAGATGTATACTGTCCAACAAAATTTAAATGACCAGAAGTGGTGGAACAAAAACAAACATAAATGTATACTGTCCAACAAAATTTAAATGACCAGAAGTGGTGGTACAAAAACAAACATAAATTTGTCTCCTTTTCCTCTTTACAGCTTACCAGATTTCTGCATACAGCCTTGAGGCTTTACCAGAGAGAGATTTGTGTTGAAACCATGGTTCTACATTTTGTCCAGACCGGCACGTAATGGCAGCACAGACCATTGCATGTGCCTCCCAGTATCATATATACTTGAATCTTTAAAAAAAAGTTATGCAGCACCTATCAGTGTATCGTATATCAGTACACCAGCATGTACCAGACCCATGCCGGTCCATCCAGAGCAGTGATTTAAAAAGGCGCTCGCCTAGGCGCTCGGGCGAGGCGAGACGAGGCCCGAGCGCCTCGCTAATCTCCCAAGCGGCACGCTTCAAACAGGCGCTGCCTGGGCGCTCGCCCGAGCCCAGGCGCTGGGCGCTTCGGGCGAGCGCCTGGGTTAACCAAGGCGACCGAACCAGGATTTTAGGTCTGGTTCGGTCCTGGTTCGGTCTCTGATGGTTAGTTGGTTTAATCGAACCAACTAAAATCGATATAAGTGAGAACCCAACCCTAACCCTCGCCGCTGCCGCTCCCGATCCCGATCCCGATCTCGCTGCTCGCAAACGTTTCCGTTGTCACCGCTCGCCGCTGTCGCTGCTCGCAAACGCTGCCTCTGTCACCGCTCGCGCCTCCCGCTGCTCGCCGCTCCTGCTCCCGCTGCCGCTGTCGCTGCTCACAAACGCTGCCTCTGTCGTCGCTCACGCCTCCCGCTGCTCGCCGCTGTCGCTGCTCGCAAACGCTACCTCTGTCGCCGCTCGCGCCTCC